AGACGTCTGCTTCCTCATGGTCCGCCATTGGGTAAACAAAGAGTTTAAAAGACGCGTATTAATCTGTGGTTCACTATCTTAATAACGCCAGAAACGTATTACCTATTTGTCCCTTAAGATGCAAGTTACTATAGGATCATCTACAGGTTACTGTACTGTATTGTGGAGTAAACAGTCGATAAATTAACGGTGCCGTAGCTGTATAATTTAAAACAAGGAACCGCTACACCCTCTCGAATTTTAAGTTCTGCCGGAACATTCTTATTTATTTATTTTAAGATTTTATTTTTGTTTATTTTCTTTCGAGTAAAAAATCCAGGCAAAAAAGAGAATTTTTGTTTAAACACATCTACTGTATCATGTCCCACATGACCTCAGTGTTGGAACACAGTTGCGTTTAAAAACAGTAATTTAGAAAACGCTTATCACCAGTTAGCTAGTTATTACATAAATGTTTATATAATAATACTGATTTTTATGTTATGCGACTATGAAACAGCTGTTCTGAGTACATCTTGACTAAATTAGATGACCTGAACACATGAGGACATTGTACAAAGTTTACTTACATACGCTATGGAATCCAAAATTTCAAAACCGTCTACTCAGGGTCCCGCCATTTTGTTAACAAATACATTGAAAGTTTTCTTTAATAACGCCAGAATCTTATTGCTTACTTTTTCCTTAAGTAGCAAGTTATTTATCGTACCATTTATAGACTACTTGCTTACAGTATTGTGGACCAATTAGTCGTTAAATTAACGTTGCTATAGCGCAGCACCCTCTGAATTGTGACTGGAGTGTTCAAGGCTCAAATGGGACATTTTTCATCTATCTATTTTACAATTTTATATCTACATTTCTTACGAGCCTAATATGTTCACAATGAAACCGGGAAATTAGAAATCATTTACCAATATTGCTTCCTAGTACACAGGTTTGATTTTTTGTTTGTTTCACTACGACTTCTGCATTACGTGTCAACGGACCCAGTATTGGGTCATAGTGGCATTTTAAATGCAGTTATATATAAATACATGTCACCGGTTTTATCGGATAAGTATTTATATAATAAATCTAACTTTACGTTAATGACCCTAGAGAGTTTACTTTATAATGAATATTCGTTAATTTTGGGTCACGAGGTTAAGCTTTTTTAGATTCCATATTACCAGAATATACTATTAATCTATTTGAATGAATATTGACATCATTTCTGTTAGTATGTTGCATGATGATTCTTGATAAGTGAATTAATGCAAAATGATGAAAGTATGCAGAAATTTTGGCACCTTCAGGTCTAAAAATGTCAGCCGTCTTACATGGATTTGGTTTAGGGTTGAAATCGGCATGGTAGGCGAGTTATAATAAAGTTTGTGAACAATTTTTCATTATATCGATTGAAAAAAAAATGTATCGAAATTTTGCAAATATATAAATAGTCTAAAAGGCAGCTTGGAGGTATAAGTAAGATTTTATGTAAAATTTTTGATGATCACCGGAGATAGAAACGGTGGCATTTTAAATAACACGATAATAATAGTAATATATTACTACTTAAACTATCACCCGTTAGCTTGTAATAATAACAAAAAAGATAAAATAATCCTTAGATATATAACAGTTCAACATCATCCGATTTTAAAATCCAATTAAACGGATAATTGAGTCATCAATTCAAGTGTAGAAAGAAGGTTAAATTAAAGATATTTCTCTTGTTTGAAATATATACAGGGGGAATCGGGCACAAGCTTTCCAACTTATATCAAGGGGGAGGGGTGAGCGATAATAGGAGAGGAGTGGTGCAGTGAATGGTATAGGGGGTGGGGTGGGGGGTGGGGTGTTGGTTGGGGGGGATGATGGTAAGGAGGGAGTGATAAAAGGAGAGGAATGGTGCAGTGAGAAGGCATAGAGTTCAAAATCTATTTATATCACAAATGTATTCCTGTGTGTGGCGACATATTCTTTCATTTACTTCAAGTTATAATTCGGGACTTCCATGTAAAATAAGTTGTAGCCTCTAGTTAAATCAAATCATTTATTCACGATACTATTTTATTCTGTTGTCTACATATAGTTAAAGAAATACTGGTTAGCATTTCAAATCAATCAAATTCGCATGAAATAAGTAAAAAAAAAGTGTTAGTAAGACGGAGTCTGAAATAGTGCAGGTAGTAGTCATTTACGGTTCGGAGGTATGAGATCAAAGGGATGTCAGCAGGTGGGAAAGGGTAACCTGGACTTGAAGTAAGTTAGTGGATTAGTGTACGTTAAGCCTTTTTCTCATTTTGTATAACAGTGTCCCCATTTATGATAACGAGGAAATCGATCAGGACCAAGGTGAAGAAAAATATCAACGAGTAAACTGCGTAAGCTTGATCAGACCGTCCATTGATGCAGTACTTATCTTAGCGAGTCTTGAATGAACAGCTCTACCTCTATACAATTTAACACGTGTTAACGTCCTAAAATCGCTGGATTGGCGGCGGGGCGTTTCGTTAATTTGCTGAATGTTTAATCGTTGTCGGGTTGTCTTGAATGAATTAAGGATTTGTCATAAATTCTACAGATCAATTGGATCATAAAATCAATATAATATTTACAGTCAGATTGTTTGTCGTCTCAAAACGGGAAAACAAATGAAATTGTAAAAACGTCATTTCTATATTTATGTAGCACTTTAAATATAACCTATATCAGTGTCAACGGAATATATCACTAGGTCGCTAAAAAGCTACAAAGCTTAAGTTTTACAAGTTTTATTAATCACTCGAGACACTCCATAAATGTGTAACAGGAGGTCAATCATCACTTGAGATACAATCAGATACATTGTTACATATTGTCTGCAAATAGTTAGATACATTATACATAGCATACATGTAATGCTGCGTGCATACATACATACACACGCACATACATACACATATACCTACATATATACATACGTATGTACGTACATACATACATACATACATACATACAAACGCGTACGTACATACATACATACATACATACATACATACATACATACATACATACATACATACATACATACATACATACAGACATACATACGTACATACATACAAACGTACGTACGTTCATACATACATACATACATACATACATACATACATACATACATACATACATACATACATACATACATACATACATACATACATACATACATACATACATACATACATACATACATACATACATACATACATACATACATACATACAAACGCATACATACATACATACATACATACATACATACATACATACATACATACATACATACATACATACATACATACATACAAATGTACGTACGTACATACATACATACATACATACATACATACTTAAGAAGATACGATGGATATATCTCTACAGGGTTGTTTTGATAGCGTTGAACTTGTTACGTCACAAATGTGAGCTATCCATATCGAGGCGATCGCCGCTGACATATATATCTTATATATATCCTTTAAAACGGACCTAACTACGGCATTCACACTTTCTTGGTCTTTTATTGTATAATATGCAGTATTTCATAGCTAAATATAGCAAAACAATCTGCGTATACTTTAAGATTCGCGTAGAATAAGGCATTGGGTTGTCAAAATGGGATGGGTGATGGAAACATCCGATCGCCGCTCTATACCTGTAATCATCAGTACTTGGTTAATCCTGTACAGGACGGCAGTCGGACATGTATACCATATAAATACATTTTACAATAACGGGACATTGCGGTAGTAGAACAGTAGGAACAGAGACATATTAAGGTCAAAGGAAAGAAGAAAAAAATTAAGTTTCCAACAGACATGGAATTACTACCATGATGGGATATTTGGCAGTAAGATTGGGAACACGTAATTGGTAGTTTATGAATCTCTTTAAAAGAGTACGCTTGGCACAATACAGAATTAACAAACATAATATGATATTATACGACACTAGGGAGGAAAGAAAAGAAATGGATGAAGTATATTTGAACATTCTATCAAAAACATGAAGCTGGATAACACTTATTTCAAAGATAAGTCTGATACTAGCCATCATAATTCATAAAAATGCATCATGTCAGTGACCATAGATTAGTTAATAAGGTAAGAGCCAAAATTATCATTAATTTACCAATATGATTTATGATGTATCAAGGATGATAATTTAATCCGTACCACACGCTCCCGTAAGTGTCCTCACAGATCATAGTGTTTTAACGTGTATTCTGTTTATTTCAGTTACAATTTAGCTTTAACATTTGTTATTGAAAGTTTGTTTAACCAGTACTGCAAACAAAATTGTACATGGCAACTGCTTAGATCATCGTTTTCCAGGACAGCCGAGTTGCAATTGTTACTCTGTAAAACCTACAAACTAGCATATGGTGTACTACAGAGTGCTTGTATGTTATATCGTCTGTACATATCCCTCTCCTTGTTCAATGAATACATGCCAAACTAATCGATAAATTATGTAGGTTTTGTTCAGAAACGGAGAATGACAATTCCGTTTGCAGTGCTTTCCGAACCTCGTGACGTCATAGATATCTCGATTTTCATTGGTTGGTAGGACATAAATATTGTAACACCGCTGAATATATTATGGGGAACGACTGGATGTCGAATCGAAACTATCGGAATCTCTAGACCTTCGGAATACAGAGAAAAGCCTTCGCAGGTTAAGGCGTCTGATCGAGAGGCTTCCAATTTTCCGTGTATAGAATCGGGAAGGGAATTACTTATGGAATATGCTTCATTCACAACAGTAAATTTACGGGAACAAGAGGCTAGTCAGACAAGGAGGTATCGCAACGATGTATTTTAGCCGGAGCGCTGTGTAAGTGTAACGATCGATGAAGAGACGAGCGTATGTGACATAGCAGGCTCCTCAACGATCAATACACAGCTAACACTGAGGTTTGCGTTGCTGCTTGGCGTAGCCACTATACATTGAACTGGTCGGCTGTCCACCAAAACCATGTCTACCAATCGGCCAAGAGCTTCGGTCCGGCCATCGCTTCCACCCATGCCGGATCTTACCCATCTAACTGAAGACGAACGCAAAATTATAGAGGATGTCTTGAAACGCCAGCACGATGAAGAGGAAAAGGAACAGGATATGATCAGGTGAGAGTTTGTCTGATTTCAAAGGCAGTAATTTAGGCGACGGTCCGCCATTTTGTCTAAACGATGGGATAATACACCGTGCTGTTGCCGTAATATAAAAGTTAAATTTCGGCGGTTTGGTACTTGTCGTGTTCTATAATTAGACTCGAGTACTATTTTGATGTTGTCCGTAATTAGTGATCTTGATGAGTCCACATCTGTGTGAGTCCCACATTACCGTCGCTGTTCCCCGCTGAGATCCCCGTGGTGGCGGGTTGTATGATGCCATTGATTCAGCACTTGTAATTTAACGGATTTTTCCGCCCTGTTATCAATGAAATGTAGGCAAATATACCAATTTGTTTCTAGATTATTTTTCTCTGTTAACTGACTTTCAATTTTACTTGATTTGGAGTAACCATCGAAACTGAATATTTGCTTAAAATGATACACTATTTCAGTATAACATGAACCTTCACACTATTCAATTTATGGTGAAAATGGTACTATCAAACCAAATGTCAAACGTCCTTCAGTTTGCTATCTTATCTCCCTCATACATGAACACATTTGTAACAAATGAGCACCTATAGAATTTCAATGTTTATGTGGTATGTTGAAATGTCAGTATTATATCATTAACATCGAGTGCATGTACACATATATCAGCATGTTTGTGGTTAGAAGCATGACTTATCATCAATTTTCCCCCCATAATTCTAATAAGGGATACATTAAGTAGTTTCTCTTTGGTGCGATGCTGATTCATAAGTAAAAGATTAACTGTTGTAACAACACATCAAACATTACACTAAACGTTGTTATACAACATTTAAACATATTGTTAAAGTAATGTTGTTACACTGTAAGAATAAATGTAAATGTTACACTGTAATAGTTAGTGTCAATGTTACACTGTAAATATAAAATTGTAACACGAAGTGTAAATCAATGTTGCATTTTTTTTGTATTATGTTACACTGGGACAGATATTGTAGATGTTACACTGGGACAGATATTGTAGATGTTACATTGGGACAGATATTGTAGATGTTACACTGGGACAGATATTGTAGATGTTACACTGGGACAGATACTGTAGATGTTACATTGGGACAGATATTGTAGATGTTACACTGGGACAGATATTGTAGATGTTACACTGGGGCAGATATTGTAGATGTTACACTGGATATTGTAGATGTTACACTGGGACAGATATTGTAGATGTTACACTGGGACAGATATTGTAGATGTTACACTGGGACAGATATTGTAGATGTTACACTGGGACAGATATTGTAGATGTTACACTGGGACAGATATTGTAGATGTTACACTGGGACAGATATTGTAGATGTTACACTGGGACAGATATTGTAGATGTTACACTGGGACAGATATTGTAGATGTTACACTGGGACAGATATTGTAGATGTTACACTGGGACAGATATTGTAGATGTTACACTGGGACAGATATTGTAGATGTTACACTGGGACAGATATTGTAGATGTTACACTTGGACAGATATTATAGATGTTACACTGGGACAGATACTGTAGATGTTACACTGGGACAGATATTGTAGATGTTACACTGGGACTGATATTGTAGATGTTACACTGGGACAGATATTGTAGATGTTACACTGGGACAGATATTGTAGATGTTACACTGGGACAGATATTGTAGATGTTACACTGGGACAGATATTGTAGATGTTACACTGGGACAGATATTGTAGATGTTACACTGGATATTGTAGATGTTACACTGGGACAGATATTGTAGATGTTAGACTTGGACAGATATTGTAGATGTTACACTGAGACAGATACTGTAGATGTTACACTGGGACAGATGGATGTTACAGATAATGTAGATGTTACACTGGGACAGATATTATAGATGTTACACTAGGACAGATATTGTAGATGTTACACTGGGACTGATATTGTAGATGTTACACTGGGACAGATATTGTAGATGTTACACTGGGACAGATATTGTAGATGTTACACTGGGACAGATATTGTAGATGTTACACTGGGACAGATATTGTAGATGTTACACTTGGACAGATACTGTAGATGTTACACTGGGACAGAAACTGTAGATGTTACACTGGGACAGATATTGTAGATGTTACACTGGGACTGATATTGTAGATGTTACACTGGGACAGATACTGTAGATGTTACACTGGGACAGATATTGTAGATGTTACACTGGGACAGATATTGTAGATGTTACACTGGATATTGTAGATGTTACACTGGGACAGATATTGTAGATGTTACACTGGGACAGATATTGTAGATGTTACACTGGGACAGATATTGTAGATGTTACACTGGATATTGTAGATGTTACACTGGGACAGATATTGTAGATGTTACACTGGGACTGATATTGTAGATGTTACACTGGGACAGATATTGTAGATGTTACACTGGGACAGATATTGCAGATGTTACGTTGCACAGAAATATGGGATTTTGAATGTTTTTGCGATTATGTTAATGCATGTGTTTCATTACATAGAATATTTCTGAAAGTTAAAATCCATTAACATATGCTAGTCCTACTGATGGTTTAGGGAGATGTACCATGACAATATGTCACTTTATACAGTGAATCGTATATGTATATTATATCGGTTTGATACAGTATCGATCAATAGATTACTATCCACACTTCTGATACCATGTCTCTGTTGATAATGACACCTCTCTATCAATGTGTGGGGTCTGATTAACATACTGACCTGTTGATTTGACCATGTATATGTTATATTCTATGATCCGCCTGTTCTATCCTGTGATTTGGTTTCCCCTAAGTGACAATGTGTATTACAATGTTTTGTAAAGGGGTAGTTTGTATATGTACATTAAAGACAGGGTTCTCGATCTGCCAGATTTGGGGCTGTCATTCCCAATACAAAATAGTATCTTTTTTTTCCAAATTTAGACCCCAAGTTTTCCCAATTCTAAGGAAAACACCATTATTTTTCCCAATTCTAAGGGCACCGGGCCCCAATCCCAAAATGGGTTGCAAGTAATGATCATGATACATTGTGTACCTAATAGAAAGCTCTAAAGGGTTTTTTCTGGGTAAATTAGGAAAAGGCACCTCGGTAAAATTGGGAAAAAAATTCTATCAACAAAAATCACCATACTGACTTAATTTTTCATTCAAACTGTTCTTTTTTAACTATAAGGCAGGATTCTGATTTTTTTTATCTGTTTTTAAATATTGACCAGTGTATAGAGTCTGAAAGACCTTCAGCACAATCAGCATCAGGTTTGAAAAAAAGTGCTCCTACCTTTAACAACCCTTTATCAAACTGAAGCCTCTTTTCTGAAGTTGGAACACTGTTCATCAATTCTATAAGGGAAGATGATATTCTCGGAAAACATTTAGGCCAACACTGGTTGATGGGCCTGCTGCCAGTTTGAACTGAAACACTTTGTTTTGGTTTATCCGACTTTTTAAAGGAGAAGGTATCCCAAGTATTCTAATGTTGTTTGCATCTTTTTGTTTTTAGATTTCTCATAACCTTCATAATACTTGGCATCATGCCATGACATGATGACAGACAGCATCACAACACATCATGATGATAAGATGCTTTACAAATTAAATGCGCTTTGAACAAAAGTAATTTCAAGCTCTTCGGTGGCTCTGCGTATATAGGTCAAATTGAAGTGGGGCTGTATATTTAGCCCCTGAGACACCCCAGAAAAAGCCCTACTCTACTTTTAAAACCGATTCCTGTACCTGTATGTATGTATCATTAGTATTCACCAGTAATTATACAGGTATAAATTGTATGATACCTGTATAATTACTAGTGAATACTAATGATATATACATACAGGCAGAGAAACATGTAGGTGTAAATAATATGTAAGCTGGCAGATATCACTGGTTCTACAGGTGTTGAATACTGTTATGCAGAAACTACTTATAATTTATTCAGTTTTCTGTCATAACAACCTAACTGAATCAGACGTTAAATGATAATGAGATGTTTAATACTTCATCAGCATACCTGGGTTGTTTTTGTATACAGGTTGGCAATACTGAATGAGAATGTTCTATAATGGCAAGGCATAGTTACTCAGTACACCTGAGCTGCCTTTCAGTTTAGGTAGTATGCTTCTTAAGCATACCAGGACCGTCTTTCTATACTGGTAAGCCATGCCTTTTCAACACACCTGGACTGTCTTTAGAGGTAGGCTATGCTTCCTCAACACACCTGGACTGTCTTTAGAGGTAGGTTATGCTTCCTCAACACACCTGAACTGTCTTTAGAGGTAGGCCATGCTTCCTCAACATACCTGGACTGTTTTTAGAGGTAGGCTATGCCTTCTCAACACACCTGGACTGTTTTTAGAGGAATCATAATTCTGTTATTGCCCTTTGTTATTTTTCATAACTTAAATTTGTCATATTTCGGGGAGCATAACCTGTTCTGACGGCCCTTGTATCTGACTGCAATCGAATTGTCGAACTATAGTAAGATACATTAGATGTTTCAGAAATAGTTACTGGCAACACAATTCTGGCCTCTGATAAGTCAAAATTTAAATTATCCGATTTGACCAAATTTGGTATATAGGGGTATAAGGGAATGCTAAATATCGCAGTATGTGTTTCCTTGACATGACAACCATAATAAGGCAAATGATGAGATCAGATTGGTTGAAATTTAGATATTGTCTGGTTTTTGCCTATTTATATATATATAGAGGTATAAAGGAATGCCAAAAGTTTCTTTTCAAGACTTCAGATGTCACAACCACCCAGGACTAAAGCTTAGACTTAGTAATGGCCTCAGTTATCAAAATCATGCAGAAAAAAAGCTTGAAGGCTATTAAGGCTTTAGATATCATGATCATCCAGGATTAAAACTCCAAGTCCTTCAAAGTCTTAGCTATCACAACCATCCAAGATTAAAATTCAGAGTCCTTCAAAGTCTTAGCTATCACAATCCTCCAGAATTAAAACTCAGA